TGAAAATCTCAGTTTATCCTTCTTATGTTTCAACACAGCTGTCAATCAAGTAGATTATCAACAGTCCAGTGCAACACTTATAGGTTGATTTTGTCTGGGCATAAAAGAAAACCCAACAGATTTTTCTGTCTCATAAAGTGCGACGGATTAGTTGCAAAGATGAGTGATTTACTAAGGGAAAGTCAGTATCCTGAATTTTATTATAACACATTTTGACGTCATCAATTTGCTTTGAAATCTACCAATAATTTACAGTACACCTTTAAATCTAGGCTTTCATATTTCATTTGGAATGGCAGCAAAGACAGTTAGTCTCAGTGGCAGGTTCCACGATAAATGTTTTGTGTCGATTTTTTACTTGTAATTGTTACGACCGGATTTTCATTGACATTGGTTTGTCGGTCGAGACTTGCACTGCTATTATTCCAATTCTTTTTGTGAGTTTGTTGCCTTTAGCTGTCAAAATTACAAAATAAGTTTATCTGCCATCTTTAACGATGACGATTACCGGTATTAAAATATCACAAGCCCATGATGACAGTCAGTCGGTCGACTTTTATTTATTTAATGGTATGATTACAATTTTCTTTCCATCTTTACCGAGCTGTGTTACCTTGACTTAAATTTAGTTTAAAAATGGTTAGTAACACGTAATGATTAAGTAGCTACGTAGATTTTTCGATGATAATAGAAGTTGTTTACATCGTGATTGTACTTTTTGCACACACATTGTTTCAAAGAAAATTATTTAATTCATCTTGTGTTAATTAACTAGTTTTAGTGATGTTATATTAAGCCACTAAAAGCTGCTTTAAAATAGAGGATTCTGGTATTTTACATCTGAGTTTGGCGTAACCTCGTCGGAAGAAACACTTCATAGGTTCTTTCACCGAGGTAAGCCCGTGAGTTTGGAGTCGCCTAGGATTCTTAAAAGTCTCTAACCCTTCTAAACAATTCTTTTTGTTCTATATCAAGACTTTCACTCAACAAAACGAGTACTGTGATCGGTTGATTCTTGGTCACGTGCCCTTAATCAAATTCGAATGTATCCTGACCGGGATACAATTGAGCAGTTGTTGCCCGCGCGCCGAATACAATAGCATGTTTTTGCCGCATGATTGTTTAAGGGAAAGTGTTAATATATAACAAAGCATTTAATGTATGGTCCTTCGGGAAACTAGTTAGTTTTCTTTTCCCTCGAGTCCTGATGTTTCCCGAGACGAAGTTGAGAGAAACATCAGGAGTCTCAGGAAATCAAAACTAACTGTTTCCCTCGGGACCATACATTAAGTGTATAATGATTGTTCCCACAAATAGGAGCATAAACATATTTAAAGACTTTACATTAAATCTAAAATGAGTTGCTAAAACTATTATAGTTATTGTCTGTATATTCTTGTACTGAAAGTCGTCGCAATAATATGATGTAAATAAAGAAAGGCGCGAGTAGAGCTTTATTGATATTTTGCCATGTATGAAAGTTCCTAAATTGTATACTACGTTCTTGGAAAATAATTTAGATTTTTTATACTGACATTGTGTAAAATTTGAGAAGTCTGTTAAAAAAAAAATATGAAATAAAGTTGTGTGAAATCACAAATAGTGGATTTCTTTTGTGTTTGCGGAAACCTTTTCACAGCCGTTTTTCTAATATTAATATTTCCAAGATTCACTGTTCTGTATTGGAACAATCAATATGAATTTTGTAAGAATTTAGGGACTGTATTAGCTTTTCATTTTTATGATTGGTCTTGACATCCCAATTTAATAGAAACCTTCCTACGAAACAGGTCGACATTTTTAACGGGATCTAAGTTCTTGAACCGTCACACTTCCTGTTAAATTAATACAACTGGTACACACGTGCAGCCAACTGCTTACTGTTTGTTAATGAGGGCTGAGAAACTATGAATCACTCACAACTCGGTTGGACCAACAAGCCTCTTTCTATAAAGAGCATTCTGTACGATAAGCCGAATTGTATATCCACTTTGATTGGTTCTTCCGTTATGGAGGATAGACGCCTAGATGAAGTCACCATTAACAGCATGTTGCTTTTTATCATTTAAAACAAACGGATTCCATGTCGCCCAGGTTCGATATAGTGATAAATCATAGGAGACGATTAAATTTTGTGAGACTTAAGGAACTCGGCTACGCTTCGTGTGACCCTTTTCCGATCTTACCACATTTTGACGCCATCTATGAGCTATTAGGGACCTTTAAAGCATCGACGCTAATAGAGACGACGACGACGAACTGCGCCGCGAGAGCACTGGTTCGAGAACGTCGTTCACGGCGGGAAAATTGCTGAACAGACCCACGGTAACATGGAATCTACTTGTAAACTCCTCAATGGGGAGGCCGGGAGGAAAAGATACAAAAGGATATAGAAGAGGCATATTTATTCAACTCCCTTGTTTGTGTTCTGTAACCTTTGCCATTTACAGGATTCAAAATCCTAAAACTTGACGGCGTTTGCATGTAAGAAAAAATTTGAACCCTAAACATTTCAAGTAATATGCATTTCTCTGAACCTGACGGTACTTTCATTTTACCTGTCACTTGAAAGTTTTATGCCAATAATACTCTTGAGTAACGTGCGCTTGATTAGGCGGCATCAAGACGTACCTACAAGTACGACCGTTTAATTGTGGGCTTAAGGAAGCGATAAAAACGCGATGAAAGTTTCAAAGTAATGGAAAACTAATGAAACTTCTTACCTTCATTTCATTGTTTCTACCTACGTTAAAAAGAACAAATATGTTTTGTCGAGCTTTCCCACTTAGATATCCTGTTCGCGGTAGCGGGAAGGATGGCAATCTCAAAACCGAGTACATTTTCATTTACATTTGTTTTGTTTAGATTTTAAATTAATTGACAAGGATTTGTGATTTGATAACCAGAATGATACGCGTATTTTGATTCGTTCTAACTTATAATATATGAGAACACAGACGCATCGATGACGTCACCATTGAACAACTTTTGGCTTTTTTATTATATAAGACACTAAGATTAAGTGTACAGTCCTAGATTACGTAAGACAGTAAAATGTGTTAAGAACATTTGTGACACTTGGCTGCAATTCGGGTGCCACATTTTTATTCGTACCTTATTTTGACGTCATCTGTGATCTACAATTGGACAGACGGACGATAAAATGGAATTTATTTGTTAAACAGACGCCTAACCGAGGTCACCATAAACAAATGTTTGCTTCTTTGTGCTCCACATTGCCTTACGCCTTTACAAAATATTACCGACGGCATAAAAATTTGGTAAGAACACACACTGAGCTTTCCTTCATGTGCACCATTTTTGTACTTACCATATTTTGCCGAACAGACCCACGGTGACACGGAATCTACTTGTCAATCAGACGAGACTTGGGCTGCTGTTATTACAGTTTATGTGATAAGCTAAATCATACACACATTCTTATTGGTTATTACTTATGATCTATCGGAGGACAAACGTCATAATTAACAGTATTTTGCTTTGGTAACATATAAAACAAATAGATTGCATGTCGCCCTTGTCTGTACAGTAAAAGATCATAGAGACGCCAAAACCAGTGTCGCACTCGTGTGCCAAATTTTTTCGATTTTACCGCATTTTGACGACGTCAAAATGCGGTAAAAAAATGCTCGACCCAATCAGATGGAAACATCTAATTGGGTCGAGGGTGAGTGGACCCGTGACATGGCCACTTTACTATACTCTAGTACCTTTTTAGGTATTTCAAAAACCGCTGATCGGAAAGAAATGACGACTGTGAATTCAAAATGGCGGACATTTTGAATTAAAAAAAAAAAAGCAGTTGCATCGAAGTTTAGTCACACAATTATAATAGGTATCTGGAGACAAAATAACAAGCACAATAAAAAAAAGTTTGTTATCTACCCTAATTTATATGAGGCGATAAGCAGAAAACCTTGTGTAAGGAACTAGCTTTTCGGGAAATTGTCCTCACGGCAAGAAAGTCTGTGATCCAAAACAATGCTCGACACGAGAGGAACTTTTCAAATGCTTACATCAATGTAACTCATGTCATCTTAGAAAAGATAGTCTGAAATTTCTCACATTTACATAGATTTGTATAACATGGGTATAATATACTTCCAGCCGTAACAACTTTCTGAGAATTTGTGTTATCAATTTTCAAATTACACTTTCTGCGCTGAAACAATGGCTCAATGGATGAAGCCATGTACAGTTACAACTTAAAAAGGATGTGTTTTGATGCTGGTATGATTTAACTTTTAGGTTTAATATCTGTCATTCAATTGACATTTTGACCCATAAAGGGTTTCGTTCGCAAGTTTCATTTTCAAAGGAGACTTTCTAAGTAGCCCACCACTTCTCATTATTTCTCAGCAATATTCAATAGGAGACAAAAAAAATCAAAACATATTTTTGATTCATGAGTTTTGCGTCAAGCACAATTACTCAAAAAGGCCGAAATCAAGGTCGAGAGAATCAAGAACGTCAACAAATTGACGTCATCAAACTGAGATAAAAACTACAAATGGTTTCCATTTACCAGCAAAATTGATTTTCAATGGGTTT